CAGATCTTCAGAAATCCTTATAAACTACCTTAGTTATTGCATTTTTCACATTATATTTTTTCCTTCGGATTAAACAAATATTATAGATAATACGTAAGGGAATATAATATTTTAAACCAATCGAACTGAAGTTCTAATTGCATGTTTTGTTTAATTAATGTCTCCATCCTCTTCCCAACCCTCACTTCCCTAACTTTGCATGTAATGTCTAGAATGCTTCTTACCCCATTTTAATTTTGCATTTGAGGGCTGACTGGTAGTGGCAGAGTTCTTTGGGGGGCCATTGATTCACTTCAACAAATATTTATCCTGCCCCATGTGGAAAACAGAAATTGAGGTGGTCCCCATGATTCTCATTTCCTGGCAGTCATGCTATTACATGATTTCCTCCACTTGAATGTGGGAAAAACCTGTGACTTGCATCTAAATAATAGAACATAGCAAAAGTAATGGGATGTATATAATTATATCTCATAAAATGGTAGTGTCCGTCTTGCTAGAATCTTTCTCATCCTCACCGTGAGGAAGCAAGTGGCTATTTTGAGGAATCTTACATAATAAGGAATTGTGGGCAGCTTCTAGAAGTGAGTGTGGCTTCCAGCCAACAGCCAGCAAAAAACTGAAGCCCTCTTTCTGACATCTGCAAGGAGCTGAATTCTTCCAACAACATGAATGTTGCCTTACATACCGAAGGTGCAGTGGGTACTGGTAGTATGCTGCCAGTCCCTTCCTGAAGAATGGGTGCAGAAGGTATAAATAACTAGGTTCCCTCAAGGAGAATGATTGTTTCTATCATATGTAACATCAATCTATTGACCTTAATAGCACTGATTTAAAGATTGCTCTGGAGTCTGATAAAGATAGATTGAACATACCTCAATATTATTGGTGCAAAATGAGCTTTTCCCTTTTTTAATATTATCTACAGTACCCCAATACATGATATTTTAAAGAACAAGTTTATAACAGAGATAAATGCAGAGAATGATATACCTCTAATTGTTTAATTTTGTCATGGTCTTTTATTGTATGATTAGTTCTTTATACTCAGGGGAATATTTTTTTCAAGTGTTAACTTTTGAAATATTCTGATTAAAAAAATAAGGGAAAGGGGTGCCTGGAGTGGCTCACTCATTTGAGTGTCTGACTCTTGATTTTGGCTTGGGTCATGATTTCAGGATCATCATGAGATTGAGCCCTGAGTTGGGCTCCATGCTGGGCTTGGGATTCTCTCTCCCTCTCCCTCTGCCCCTCCCCTGCTTGTGCTCACTCTCTTTCTAAAAAATAATAAAAAAAAATAAGGGATGTACATCAACATGATAAAGACTATAAATGGCAAGCCCACAGATACCATCATAGTCAATGGCAAAAATCTGAAAACTTTTCCTTTACGTTCAGTAAAAAGACAAATATTCCCACTCTCACAACTTCTATTCATCATAGTCCTGGAAATTCTAGCAAGAGCAATTAACCAAGAAAGTTAAATAAATAATCACAGACCTGTACCTCTGAAACAAATAATACATTATATGTTAAAAAAGAAGAAGAAGAAGAAGAAGAAGAAGAAGAAGAAGAAGAAGAAGAAGGAGAAGAAGAAAGCAGGAAGGGAAAAATGAAGGGGGGGAAATTGGAGGGGGAGACAAACCACGAGAGACTATGGACTCTGAGAAACTGAGGGTTCTAGAGGGGAGGGGGTGGGGGGATGGGTTAGCCTGGTGATGGGTAATAAAGAGGGCACGTACTGAATGGAGCACTGGGTGTTATACACAAACAATGAATCATGGAACACTACATCAAAAACTAATGATGTAATGCATGGTGATTAACATAATAATAAAAATAAAATACAGGGGAACATTAAAGAAAATTAAGTAAAAGACATCTAAATCAGAAAAGTAAAATTGTCTCTGCAGATGACATCTTGTATATAAAAAAATCCTACAGACTCCACCAAAAAAAACCCTGTTAGAACTAATAAATAAACTTGCAGGACGCAAAGTCAATATACAAACATCAGTTGTATTTTTATAACTTAGAACAAACTATGCAAAAAAGATGCTAAGTACAATCCAATTTACAGTAGCATCAAAAAGAATAAAATACTTAGGCATAAACCTAACCAAGGAGGTGAAAGATTTGTATCCCAAAAACTATGAAAGAAATTGAAAAAGACAAAATAAATGGGAAGATATCCCATGTTCATGGATTGGGAGGATTCATATTGTTAAAATGTCAATATTACCAAAAGCGATCTAAAGATTCAATGCAATTGCTATCAAAATTCCAATGGCATTTTTCACAAAAATAGAAAAAAAAAATCCTAGAATTTGTATGGAACTACAAAGACTCAGAATAGCCAAAGCAATGTTGAGTCAGAACAACAAATCTGGAGTCATCACACCTCCTGTTTGAAACTCTGTTACAAAGTTATGGTAATCAGTATGGTAGTAGCATAAAAAAAGACACATAGAGCAATAGAACAGAATAGGAAGCCCAGAAATAAAGCCATGTATATATAATCGATTAATTTATGACAAAGGAGCTATAATATATAATGCATAATTGTGTTTATATCTGGATCTATGATAGTTGTTTTTCTGATGCTAGATTAACATAAAACTATTTCTTAGACAAATCAGCTTATAAATTTTGCCTTCCAAGTGCTTAGACAACAAATACGGTTCTTTTGGCTCTTCTCATGCTTGGTTTCCTCTGTTAACTCTTCTGGAGAGCTCAAGCCACAAGAAATGAGCAGAGTCAGAATACTGAAGGACTGATACTACAGCATACCATGGGGCAAGAGTAGTGTCTGCAATTGCAGTAAGATTGTCAAACGTTAATCACTTTTTATTTCTCTTACTGACTGCATAATACCATGAGGCTACCTGTCTCTTGGGTGAAGCGAGGGTGGGACTCCTTTCTGTTCTAATTAATTCTACAATTCTATTTATTTACAAAGCAGTGATCATTATGTCCACATTGATTTGTATTCTTTACATGTGTTTTTTTGTAACTTGCCTTAAAAAATTGTAATTGCATACAAGAAACATGTTTGTAATGTGATCCTTTCTTCAGTGGCTACTATCGATTGGAACATAAATGGACAGCTGACTGAGGGTTGGCATCCATTCTTAAGTTGGTTAATTACCTTTTGAGAATTTGGGCTAAGAATAGAGACCAGAGTCAGACAGTACTAAAGTGGGAGGAGGAGGGAGGAAGAAGAAGGAGGAGGAGGAGAAGAAAAATTTGCTGTCAGCATTAGTTCATAAGGGAAAAATGTTGTTAACGTAAGTGGAAAGAACATCAGCTCACAATAAAAGACACTTTAACATGAACACACTTGATATAATGGAAAACTCATGGCATTATTTAATTTTCTTTATTTCACAGTGATCTGTTGTTAAAAACTTCAACTCTTACAGGAGTAAGTTCTTCCTCACCTTTGATCTAAAATCGATAAGGGTTGATAGACTGTTACATATTTCAAAATCCAAGATACGGGTAATTGAAAGACCAATTCTTTTGTTCTTGCTTTGCCTTGACATAGATCAACTTATTCCAGTCACCAGTGCTGATTTCATACAGATGAATCATGTTGATTAGCAATTACATATGCCTTTGTAATAAACAATGGTCATATTGAGAATAAATAAATGCCATTTAGTTGATGGAAACAAACTTTCAAAACATGGGGCTCATGAGGAAAATTACCGTCATTTTTTAATTAAAAAATTATTTGGCAAGCTGAACTGGCAGTTAGGTCAGTATTGATGAGACTAAAGTGGAAAGTTCAATCACATTTGACTTTATCTTCTTGACTATCACTATACTTTAGATGTGACCCAGCTATATTGTAAGAAGATGCTCCTGGTAAAAGAAAAAAGGGTCTAGGCCAAGGAGAGTGAATAACTCTGTGTAACATCATCCATATACATCCTATGGCTTTTAATTAAATGTATTTTCTGCCATGAAAGTTATAAGCATGAGGATGCATACACTAAGTGAAAACTGTAGCCAATTATTATATATACCTCCCAAGACACTTAAATGATAATAGCTTACAAAAAGTTAAATCTATGCATCTATTAATGTTAAGTGAGTTCTCGCCCAGATTTTTCTCTCCTCTTAGGGGTCAAATGTGGTGGAAGTGGAGATTTGACTGAACTGCCTTTAAAAAATTTTTAATCAAGTGTTATAACAGCAGGCAACAGATGGAGGGAAAGCCATTTGATATCACATCAGTAGCAATGTGCCCAGCACACGATATGAAGCACAGATGTTTATCTGAAATGGCCATGAAGTTGGAAACTGAAAACTTGGAAGGGAGCTATTGAGTTCCCAAACCTCTCCAATGCCATATTGTAAACAGGCAGGACAGCCTCCAAGGGGTAGCATTAATACCTGATTCTCTTACATTCTTCTAGTAATAGAGGATGCACAAAAGTACATGTGCTCAGCACTGAAACCCCAAGTCAGAGATGTCTTTTTCATATCTGAACAGTATTTCCAATTAATGTGTTTTCTGAGAAAATTTTCCCCAGTATCTCTTTTGAGTTTTATATTCAGTGTTTTATTATATCTCTTGTGCTTTAATATGATGAGAATCTAAACTAATTCTCATATGTTCTGTTCTTTCACTTCCTTAAAAAATGCATAGTATAAAACATTTAAGTATCAATTACCCTATGGGAATTATTTCCCCCCTGAATGATTGTGAGGTTCTGTTTGTTTGTTTTCCATGTGTTTGCTTTTATTGATGAGGTAGCATTTTTATTCCAACTTCTCAAGAGACCATTCTTCACTCAGCATAGAGCGAAAATATTTTAGCCGGCTATCACTTCACACCATGAGAGTGAATGAAATTGTCTGCTCAAAGTGGAATTTCTATTTTCTTTATGTAAACAGGCCCACTGATAACATTTGCAAGGCTTGGGGAAAGAGAACAAATAGAGAGTCCTTCCACTAATGCCCACATTTTCAATTCTCTTCCCTCATTCCAGGCTGTACTGTGGAGAGCCACGAGCATGTTTGTAGAGACCTCAGACTGTAAGTCCCAGTCCTGTCAGCCAGTGCCTTCTTGAAAAGAGCTACTTCTTGACTCACTCCTAGGATTTAAAGGTATGTATGTCATTAGCATTCTCTCCCTTTAGGAGTACAGACTGAGGAAAAGGACTGCATGCTGCAGGGAACAGGCTTGGTGCTGTTCAGGTGGCCAGTTCTGCCGACTTAAGTATCTAGAGGGCAGCATAAAACAGATATGTGGGCTCAAGTTGGGCTTATTTCATTGGGTCAATATCATTGACCAACATTCCCCCATCATTCCATTTATGTTATTTCCATTTGTGGGGTTGACATACTGTAGACAACCCCCCAGTGATCCACGCCCTTGTATAAACCGCTCTCCTTAAGTATGGATGGGATCTGTAGTTTAGGTAATTAGCAAAGGTAATTAGATGTCATTGGTTAAAAAAGATGATGGAATGTTTATCTAGGACTCCATCTTGGGAGGCTGGAGAGAGAGACTCTCCTGCTAGTCTTGAAGAGGCAAACTGCTGTGTTGTGAATTTCCTATGAGATGTGCACATGGCAAGGAACTGGTAAGCCCTTGGGAAGTCCTCAGTCCTACAACCATAAGGAACTAAATTTTGCCCAAAGCACAGGAACTTGGAATATGACTGTTAGCTCTACAAAAGATCACAGACTGGTTGACACCTCACTGTAGCCTTGTAATACCCTGAGCTGAAAATCCATTTACACTGAATCCAGATTCCTAACACTGTAAGAAAATGCATATGTGTTGTTTGAAGCTACTAGGGTTGTGATAACTTGTTAAACAGCATAAGGAAACTAGTCTACCAGTTCTTTGGAATTTGGACATTTGTTCCTTCCTGTCTTTGTCATACTTAGTCTTTCCCACAGCTATTAAAAGTAATTACTCTTCTTGTGCATAGATCCTTGTTTTGTTGGCACTGGATTGCAGCCTTTAGGAATGCCAAGTTCATTGTATTATCTGAGTGAAGTACTTTTTAAAAAATTACTTATTTGATTTAGTATAACTGAATAAAGATGATCATGTTCAAAGATAACCAGATTTTTTGACGACCTTGCTCGTGATGTGTCCCCTTTCCTTCCTAATTTATTCTTCACACATATACTTATTTCTCTGATACATTTCCGATATCTTACTTTGCCTCTTGATACTGGCAGAAATATTCTCTTCCTCCTTTGATACATAAACCATTTTCATTGATCTGCTTTTAAAATTTATTTTTCCTCAATCCTTTACTTGGCATTTGTATAGGTACCATTCCTTTCCTAATCAAATTATATTCTGCTAGGTTGGACACAGGGGGAGAAATAAAGTCACGTATGTCCTTTTTATTTTTTTAAGGATTTATTTTTTAAGTAATCTCTACACCCAACATGGGGCTTAAATTTATAACCCTGTGATGAAAAGTCACATGTTCTATCACCTGAACGAGCCAGGTGCCCCCATGTATGTCTTTATAGCCTGTCTTCAAATCTAATTGCCTCCTCTACATTTTGGGTAGAATGGGCTCTTAGCTACTTGGATATAGAAATGGAAGTGATGTTGAACTGTACAGTTTTTAGCCCACACATTCCTTAGCCCACGCTCACATATTTTGGAATCTAGCAAAACAGGTCCATTGTTGTATATCTTGTTGAGGCTCAAGTGATACTTTCCATCCTGAAACTGGTGATACCTTACTGATAGACTTGGGAACTTTGATTCAGTAAATCTTCATTTGCTTGGAAATTTGGATGCCACTTAAAATAGCTACCTTAGAGGGCAGTTGAAGTGAATGATGTGATTTGATCTATAATGCACATTTGAAAAATACCTACAGTTATTTTTAGGACAGATGAGGGCTGAAATCAACTGGGAAAGTCTAATGAGTAGCTCATATTTCTGCTCCAGTTCTCTCCTTGGCTGGCAAGAGCCAAATGGAGCCTCCTGTGGGTTTTTGTCATTCTTGGTTGAAGCCCTGAATGTTGGCAGACTGTCCCCACAGGCAAGGTAAAAGGAAGAATTGAGGCAATAATCAGGGTAATTCAGGTACTGTGTGTGCTAATAGAGAAAACAGGTGCTTGGGGCTTGGTTGACCCAGCATGGAACAAATGCTTCAGATAAATAAATGGGCTTCACACTTCTTTCTGTTTCATAACTAGAGGCAGCTTGAAAGCTCTGCCCTATTGATCTTTCTGAAGATAAATCTTCTGTTTCCTTATGAAAGTGTCTAGATTTCTTTAAAGCTCAACCTACTTACAAAGAGATTAAAAACCTTAGCCATAATTTCAGCATTTCCCAATAAAATCTAGGCATTCATTTCAAATAATACTGATAATAGAAGATTTGAACAACAACATAAAAAAATGGTTTGGGGACTCAAATGTGTTGTTACAATGGGGGAAATTTAGCAGGGATGCTATGTGTAGAGAAAATAATGTTAAAATCAATCTGAGGTTTTAAGAGCCTTCTTTCTTTGGATTAAGTGTACCATTAATACTTTGGGGAAAAGTCTTGCTCTAGTTTTCTGTGTAGCAGAAGTAGGAGAAAAGGGTAGTTGATTCCAGATACCATTGCTTCCTTTTACATAGCAGATGTGTTCACTCTTTGTGATTTTGATTGCAATATCCACCCTGGGGTTAATGAGATAGTTGAACCAAATTTTCTCTACAGAAGTTCCTTAGAAGTTAAAGGGGATATCCAAAAAGACCCATGTGATAAACTCATTTGATTTTAACATATATTTGCTTAAGTCAAGTCAACAAAACAATTTGCAATGGCAGAGCCCATGGAGTTCACTTAGAGAGCCAGCAAGTGGAAAACTTCTCAGCTGAAATAGTTATTATAGAATGTTGGAGGGAGGGAGTGGTTACCCAAGATCTGTTTACAATCAGCATTTATTCTAAGAGAATTGCATAAGATTTAACTGGCATGAGATAACAGTGGGTAAATCATGCAGACCCATCTCAGAATCACTGTTAATTTCTTTCTTCTAATTTAGAATGTAATTGCTGATTAAATATGAGACCGTGATACAAAACTTTTAGTTTCCTTTTACTTTATAAATTTCCTTTTAATATAAAAATGGATTTTCTTTGGATATTTAACTTCCATGAGGACTGCTTCCTATATTTAGTTTTCAGGAAATTTCTCTTATTTCTTAGAAAATATATTTTGCTACTTCACTGCAATTCAAAAAATTCAAAAGAAAATAAAGAATTTAACAATATCTGTCCCCAGATTCCAAGGGTTCTTTTTTGCAAGGTGCAGAAGAGAGATTGGGCCCTGCTTCCCCATGATGAAAAAGATTTCACTCCTTCTATAAGCTTAATGCCATTAACTTCATTGACAAGAGACTCCCCAAAAGTCTTAAGTACTTTTTTATTTTCAACATTTCAATTATGTCCTTTTATCCTCCAAAAAAAAGAAAACTCCCCCAAACCAAAATAAACCACAACACATCCCGTTTAATTCTCTCTATTGAAAATGGATTATGGTTTACTTCTAAAAGTACACAGAAGGGCATCTGGGTGGCTCAGTCGATTAAGCATCTGCCTTTGGTTCAGGTCATGATCCCTGGGTTCTGGGATTAAGCCCTCCATCAGGCTTCCTACTCAGCAGGGAGCCTGCTTCTCTCTCTCCCGCTCCCCCTGTTCATGCTCTCTCTCTCAAATAAATAAATGAAATCTTAAAAAAATAAAACTACATATAAAAATCAATGATTTCAATGGGGCAAAAAATAGAGATTGTATTAGGAGGTGGGAGGAGGTAAAAAGCATTGGTAATCATTGATTGGTCAGTTGGTTGGTTGATTCATCTATGAAAATATTTACTGATCATCTATGTGTCGAGCATAATGCCAACCATTAAGGATACAGTAATGCACATTATTAGACTTGGTGAATCCTGCCTTTACCAACTTTTGCTTTAGTGGCTAGAAAAGCATTCATCAAACCATGTATTTTTTTTAATGAGTTCATAATTATGAACGGAGATAAATTTTATGAAGGAAAGGAACATCACTCTTAAACAAGGAATTAACAAAATAACTTGGCTTTACTGAGAAAAGGATACTTGCAATATTAGTAAGTGATAAATTAATGAGAGAGTGATGAAGGAGCATTCATTGCTGCCAGAGTGGTATGTACAAAGGGTATGCGTTGTAAGAGAAGCCAACAGTGTTGGGGTGAAAGTATAGGGAGAGTGCTTGGAAGGGTGAGCAGAAACCAGATGACACTGCTTTGCAGCCCTATTAAGGATTTTTATTTTATGTGCAACAGAAAGCCTTTGGACAGTTTTAAGCAGCATTGCCATAATTAGATCTAAGCTTTGACAGTAAAACTTTGAGATGAAAACTCCAGAAAGTATTACAGAATCTACTTGGCCTCTTATTAACTAGAGGCAATGCTTTCATATCCAGTGAATGTATGGGGTGTAATTGTATGAAATTTTTGCAAGAATTAAACAATGTCCTTATACTTTATAAGAAGAGTTCTAAGAGAGCTACAACAAATTATAAATTCCCCAATTTTCTTTCAGATACCATTTCAATATATATTTAGAATTTTGTACGTTTTTTATTTTCCTTTTTTCTCATTTCAATTTAAATTATAGCACCTGACAGACTAAATATTTATGTAACAATTTCTAGCTTTGTATGAATTGCTATACTTGGTGGTTGTTATCAGTAACACCAGCACACTTAAATTTTTTTTAATCTTTTCATAAGGGCGAAATACAATGAATTATTCATATCATTGTATAAGTTGATAGTGATTGTGGCAAATAGGCTCTTAATTATTCCCATTTCCTGGTATTCATACTGCTATGTGGTCCCCTACCCCTGTGTGTGGACCACACCTAGGATTTTCTTCTAATAGAATATGGTAAGTGCTAGGATGTGCATGATTATTTGTATGTGATTATATGATTTACACAAAACTTATATGATTTACACTCTTCTTGCTAGAGTCCCTCCCTTGCTTGCTTTGAGGAAGCAAGTGGCCCTGCTGGGGAATCCCACATTGCAAGGAACTGTAGGTGACCTCTAGGAGCTGAGAGTGGTCTCTAGTCAATGGTCAGC